TTGATTGTACACCTAAGTCACACTGGATTGTTTCTGCTTATTAATTGGATGAGTTGAAATTGTATTAAGAGGAAGAATAAAAAGATGTAATATGCCATCAAGGATTTTATTTGGATGAGTATAAATAAGATTAACTTTCTACACCATTTCTTGCTAAACTTACTCCTTTGAATTTTCATATAAAATAAAGAGACCAGTGATTTGAGAGTATTTATTTAACACATCTTCATAACTATACTTTTATACCAATAATAAAGGTTTCTGGGCTGTGCTGCTTTTTAACACTTGATTTCTGTAATAGCACTTCGGTATAACACAAGATTATAATAGCACCATCGTACCAGATGAAGTTGTGTCAACATTTCCACTAAAAGCCTATATATTTTTGAGAAGTAAATACAGTAGAATAGTCAAAGAAATCTACTCAGAGCTAAATTAAGTCTAGATCATCTGAACCTGACTACATTAAAAGCATTAAAAGAAAAAATGGTTTCTGATGAGGGATGTGGTTTATCAGCATATATCAACAGTAGTTGGGGGAGGGGTTTCATCATCTCAGACATTTTATAAATTAGTACTTCTCACTAATGATTGGTTACTCTAGAGTGGAAGGTTATATCACATTAATTAATTTTGTTCAAGAAATTCATCCCTCTGAGCAATACCTAAGTATGAATAAGAGCTCCTGTTTTTTGTATATAATTTAATAAATCAATAGATTTGGAAGTAGATTATGGACCACAAGATAACAATTCTGCAAAAGTAGAGCTTTACTATGTTTGTAGCATTGAATGAGCACAGTAAGTTGTATAGATTCCATATGTATACATTTGGTCAGAAAAATAACATTTTTAAAATAACCATAAATAATATCATCAAAACACAATACAAACTCCAAGGGGAGAAGAAAATAAGTAAGAGGTATTTCATGCTTGTCCAGGAAAATCTCCATTTGATCCAAAAATCTGATTCAATAATCAATTCCAAGGGCATGGCACATTTTTATTATAAGTGAAAGATTAGCAGAAAAAGTTCTTACACGAAAATAACGTCTGTTTAGATGCTTTAGCTGCCTTTTAAAGCTGAATATGAGAGTCTTTCCCTTCTTTAGCCTACAAGGCTCAGGCTCAAAAATTTAATAATGATCTTCTACAGTTGCAGTTTTTTTCATTTTGGGTTTTAATGTAAACCATTTTCATATTGAGGAAAAAGAATAATTGAAAACACAGATTTTATTATTTTACCACCCATGTAATATAAAAATGGCTAAATCTATTGAAACCAAATATAGAAAAGGAAAAAAAAGAAAACAAATCAGCTTAGTAACTTCAAATATCTTCTCAGAGCAAATGTTACAGATGAGTTGAAAACAAAGGAAAATACAGGACATTTTAATAGCAATGTGGAGAAACCCTTAAGTATAGTGGTGTTAGTGGTCATTGTGATATTATATGGAAAACTCAGTTCTTTTTACTGGAAATGCATAAACACAATTGTTAAAGTCCTTGCTGTTTCTTTGGTCCAAAACCTCAGCCATATTTCCACTTTGATTCAATCTTATTGTTTGGCAAAAAATAACTTGTACTTTTGTTTGGGGTTTTTTTTAAGCTAGTTGTTCCTGCTGCAAAATTCTGAGTACAGAAGAAAAATACATGCTACACAAGTATTATAAGACTTGCCCCTTCTCTTGTAAATAGGGTATTCTACATGTGATTTTGGAGATTAGCCAAAAAGAAGATGCCAGAACTATAAACTACAGTCAGTTATTTGTAACAGCCTGGGTCAAAGTATAACAATGTGGGGGGGAGGAAAATAATCCCATGGACAAACAAAACAAAGAAGCCTTGAAGTTGTAGGTGATATGATATGATCACATCATTGGAAATTCTGGGGTGAATTTTTTGGGGGATTTATTCTTTGCCTGCTTGGACCAACCCCAATTAACTCTCCTGTTATGGTCATCAATATTTATGGAGAGCTGCCAATGCACATAGCATTGTACACAATTATGCAAAAGTACCTAATCGCTGTTCTGTCCTATCTTTTAAGGAAGAAGGGGCCATAAATCATTATAAGCAGCATGTGCTTACTATTTTAACTTTAAATGACGTAAAATATGCTCATTTTTTTTCTCTCCTGCTCTCTTGAAGGTTGTCATAACTGAAATTCCTGTACTGGTGTTTTTTAAATTTGCTTGAAAGTTGAGAAGTTTAGAACTCTATTTCCCACTGTTTTTTTTATTAAAATTAACATGTAGACACAGGGGTTTTTTCTTTCATAGACAACTATTTGTCTTTTTATTTAATTTTTAAGTGTTTCTCACAAGAAGGATTTTATTTTCTGAAGCTTGAGTTTAATATTATGGTTTACCTCATATTTACTCTCATATATTTATTATTTTACCATATGTGCATTAAACAATTATAATTGGAAATACAGTGGTATAAATTTAAGATGCCATAGTGATTAATAAAGTTGTGTAATCCCAGATTGTATTAACATACTGTATTAAATTAAAGTTCCACTATTAACATGGTAAATGTTGCTTTCAAAGCAGATTATTTTGATAGAAGTTGATAGCTGTTTCAAATCGAAAATCACTTGAGTTATTACTATGATACATCAACTTTTATTGATTTTAAGGTTGAGTGTGTTAGCATTCACTTATCACTGCATATTCTTTTCTCATTGCATGTTAATAGAGTTTGCCTTTATCTGTCAGGGTCTTAAATCATATTAAATGATACCTGCTTCAATGATATATTTAGCTGTTATGTTAATTATTCTGAAACATAGGATTGTTTAATAAAAATGTTAAAGCTAATGTATATTAGTCATCAATATGTGTTATAAATGTTAAAAGGAGAGTGTGCCATAAACCACAATTATACAGAATGCATGAGAAGGAAGGGCATTTAGACTGATTTAAGAGTTCATTTTAATTTAGGGTCAAGATACACTTTAGTAATTTGTGGAAACCAAACAAAACATGGCATTCTTCATATTTTCATCCAGTCTAATAATTGTAAACAAGCAAAAGCCCTTTCCTGTAAGCATCCACCATTTAAAATATAAAATAAGTATACAATATCACTGCTCAAAGGTACCTCTTAAATGAATAGACCAGAATAATAGAAATATTTTTACAATTCTAATAGATAAAAGACATGCTTTTTGGAACAGAATTTGAGTTCACCTCAGTGGGAATTGCCTGCATAAATACCGCAGGATCAAACTAGTGCCGATTTAATGCCCATCCTGCAGACTTCCGCACAAGTCTAACATTTCACAGTAAGAAGTCCCATTGAAATCAAAGAGCAATTACAGAGCCAGACGCTACATGAATGCACTTCAGTGACTGATGGACCTGTCCTGAGATATACCAGCTGAGAATCTGTCCCATAGTGTGCACAGTTAAGTACATGCACAAACTTTTGCAGGGTCAAGGCCTCAACTATAACTTAAGCTGTCTCACTGTTTCCAATTATTTTTTTAGAATTAGCATTTTAATTCAAATTCACTAAGTACTATGTGTGAATTGTATCACACAATTAATTTTTTCTAAAACCAGTATGTAGCTATGTGCAATTATATATCCATATGCAATTATAACATTGAGGGGGGGAAAAACAGTAAGGAAATTACCTTTAAAATAATATCATTATTTTATGAACTTGTTGATTTCTAAGGTCATAAACAAAAAGAAGAAAGTCCTAAATTTAATTGTTCCTTTTAAAAACTAAGATCTGAAAATTAAACTCACTCTAATCTGCCAAATAATCAATGAATTGTAATTTTATTGTTATGATGACCAAACTCTAGGGTGTCATTTTCTAGAAATCCTGGTTATTAAGGTTAGTGATTGGAAACATTTTAATCCAGCTGTAAGGATTAAAGAGGTGGCAGACATAAAAGCCATAAAATGTGTGTGATAATCTAAAGGTATTTCAGAACATGTGCCAATGTTTAAAAATTTACCATAGAAAGTATTATTCTGGAAAGCAAGATTTTATCAGATCTTGTACAACACTTGTTGAAAACCTTTAGCTTTTCAATTAAACTCCTTTGCTTTTAGGGTCAGATTAGAAGTTACGTAGGTAGTGCTGTCAGTCTTACAGTACATCATGATTTTAATTTAAAATTGTAAAAATAGTAAGTAAAACAATATTCTTAATGAAATGGAAGTTTCCTCTTCTATTAAAGAAATTTTAAACTGATTTTTTCATTGAATTGAGTAATGATAATTAATGGATACGTATCTACTCAAGATTCAATTTAAGTTTTATCTCTTTATATATGTTTAATTGTCTTTTTTTAAATGCTTAGGAATTATTTACTAGACCTTTTTTGCAAGTTTCTGATATTAAGTATTATATCTGTTACTTGTGTTTGTTTATAACACAAAATAAGACTCAACTCAGTCTCTTAAGCATGCCAGCAAAATATTAAAAATACAGTCAACAGTTTATAAAACAGAAGCAATGTACAAATAACAGCAGATAGCAAAAAAGCATCCATGCAGCTGAAAAGGTAAGAAATCTGTCAGAAAGGGCTCGATTTGTTTCTTCTCTTGTATTATTCAAGACTTTAATATATTTCAATCTGATGTTTGTTCATGTTTAACCTCCACAAAAAACTGTGAGGGAAATAACCCAGCAATACACAAAAGTGTTTGAGTTTTTGAGTATCAAGAAAAAAATGAAGCTGGCCTAAGGCTAAAACTTTCATTAGATCAATGAAAGAAAGAAAACAGAAGCCAGCAGAGGGGAGTTATAGAAACTGACTTTATATAAACAGTTGGAGAAATCTTTTTTCCATGGCCACCTACAATGTTGCTACTTTACCATTAGTACAGCTTCTGTTTTACTAATAGTACAACGTCTAGTGCCCAATCCTGTAGCTTTTACACAGTTCCAACTTGCAAGATTTACCCTGTACAGGCTGCAGGAGCAGGCCCCCAGTTTGTCACACAGATTAGAAACAAAAAATGTTCAACATACCTAAATTGACAAAGCTCATGACCATGTCAGCATCATTCAGAAAGTTGGTATCATGTAGGCTGGCTAAAGGAGGACTCTGTGTGGTCATGGGAGTCATGCGAGACAACTGTATTCTCCGAGAATATCCATTTGGAGATGCAGGGTATCCTTTTCTTATCCCTCTGCTCTCACCTCCCAATGATCCCCTTAGTGAATACTCCATCTCCTCAGTATCCTCTTCATTTGTCATGGCATTGTACAGGTCCAGCATGAAGAGGGGTGCAGAAGAAGCCTGCTTTCCTGGTGAAAACGGTCTGGGTCTGTGAGGTAAACCCAGGATAGAGAGAATCTCTCTCTGGATCTCCCTTCTCTCATGGTTCCGCAGCCTCCTGTAAATAAAACTTGAATGGACATGGTTGTCTCCTAAACCTCCCTGTGCGTGACCCAGCAGAACCCAGCAATTCCAGAGCAAGCCCACGAAAGCTTTGAGCACAGTTAGGTTCATCCTTGAAAGAAAAAAAAAAAAAGACAAAAATCTTTCTCCTACTTGTTCTGAGCTCCTATGAGGTCTGCTTTCCCAGTGGCTGAAAAATAAAATTTACCTATTTTTCATGTCAATGTCATCTCTAAACGCAACATTTTCGGTGATTCCCCCCTCCCTGTTTAAATATTATGGAATGTGTCAGGTTGCAGTTATTTCTAAGAAAGCTGAAATTCAGATTTCCAATTTTCCACTGTTGTTATCGTTTTTTCTGCATTTATGAAGCAGAAGAACAGAACTTTGTCAGCTGACCTAGGCATTCCTATATAAACTTTAGATAACCGGGTCTTTAGTGGGGAGCTGTATTAGCAAGAGTTGATCTTCTGGTACACTGTAGTTCCCCGAGTTATCTTCCTTTGTTATTTTGTCTTCGTACACCTTGCGCTCTTTCCAAAAGAAAGTCCTGAATCAAAGATTCGTCTTGATCTGCACCTTGGTGATGTAACATATATTTGTCCAGCAGCCTGGTGATAACTTTAACATCTTTTGAATTGCCTTAATGTAAATTAATTCTAAAGCATGTACTAATCAAATGTATGTGTTTCCCTGAATTGACTTGGAAAAAAAACCCCTGTAAATCCATGCAACTCTTTTCGGCTTCTTAACTGTTATTTCCAACTCTAGCAAGCACAAATATAACAGCTCTCTTCAAGAGAGATCTAAAGACTAATGTAAGCACAACCCTGCTGGGAAAGAAGAGGCTTCTCATTGTAATTTGAAACGGGTAAAGCAAAAAAGTGCTTAACCCTTCTGTTGCCAGACAAAGCTTCATTTCCCCCTTACTTTACAGTAATATATATCATTTGACTACCTACTGCATTTTACAGACCACTTCCAAAAAGAATCAAGTACCAAAAAGTAAGTTTAACACATTTAGGACGTGTAGTTGAAATTATGTTGTCATAATACAAAAGATCTTCAAGTCTGCATTTTAGTAAGTTTGAATATGAAACTCTTGTGACAAGCTAAACTAGGATCCCATTATTCTGAGAAATGTGTATAATTTAAAGTCATTTAAGTAAATAAATATTACCTTTTCTTTTAAGTCCTGTAAGAAAGTGTCTATTAAGCTGGTTCTTTCCTGAAAACTGCAAATTGAATTAAAATAAATTGGTTCAGCAAGCAGTAGATCCAACATGTCAAAAGTTAACAGTGTAATTATAATTATACTGTACAACCTACATAGATTGCAATTTGCAGAGATAATTTTTTCAAAGTGTATTTGGAGTTCTAAAACTTACCATACTGCATGTCCTAGTAAAGTCAAGCCTGAGATTTAATCTTAAAAGTTGTTATTAATAAACTAAATAGGAGGAAAATAGTTTGACTAATAGCTGAACATAAGTATTAAAATAAAATGCTCTTCAAGAAAACAAAGGTTCTCTTATGGATTTTGTTACAGGCTACTCTCTGGTTTTTTCAGCATTTAAACAAAACCACGGTGTTCTGTGTCAGTATTCTGCCTCCTGAAATTTAGTTTAAGAGTTGGGGAAACTGTTCCCCCCTTCTCCTGATGAGGGCATTTGAAGAAATTTGGAGGCAGAGGGAAGAAGGGAATAAAAGTTGAAATGCATGACACTGGGAGTGTAGGGGAGGGGGAGGGACAGCTTCCACTGATGTCATTAGCACCTACTCAGCAGACGACCAGCTCCAGTTGAATTTAGGAGAGACTATAATCCCATCGTGATAACCCAGATTTTAAGAACAATTGCTCTAAAATATTAAAGAAAAACAAACTTTTCTTCTATGTTGTGGTCTGTGTTCTAGATAGAGAACTAGATATGAATAGTTCCTTATTTTATTTGTCTGTCTTACCGCACACTCTTGGCTAAAATCTTCAAAGAATAAAACATTTTAACTAGCTTTAATCAAAACAAACATGACATCCTTCCATAATAAAACTAAGTCCCATAGACAGAGACACTATAGAAGGCTCACATCTATGGAACTAGAGTACTTAACTCCAAAAATGAAAATATCTGTTCATTGAGGTAAGGAGGAGACTTGCTTTAACAGGTGACAAAATGACCCTTTTCTTATCTTTCCTGTAGGCAGATGACTTCCAAAGGTAAATATCACAAACAGCTCTAGCATATTAATATTTAGTATTGGGTAGAAAATCAATTCAGAAGGACTGAATTTTGGTTTAGGTTAAAGGTTGGCTTCAAATTGGAGCTGGGATTCAAGGTTTTCAACAGCTTTTTACATGAAATTAAAGTATACCAGTAATGGGAATTGGAAGAAACCAACTCATTTCACATGACTTTTACATACATTCACATCAGAATAACTAGAAAGGCCCCTTCAAGGTTTGAATAAGGTTCAAAATACAAAAAAGACCCCCCCAAAACTGCTTTCATCCAGGATTTGAATCCACACTTGAGAATTTCAAGTTCTAATTTTAGCTCATTTTTGAAGTTGACTATCCTTCTCAAAAATGAAGGCATGTAGATTTACCTTACATATCCATATATTAAGCTTGGATTCCACATAAGCAAGCGCATGAGTATCATTCTATTGGGCACTGCAAATAGTAACATTAGCATAAAGTGTGTGTTAAAAATACATCACAACTATTGTAAGTTCATGAGAACTAGGAAATCACCACCCCAGATTCATATTTGATCATAGCATTTCTACAGGCATAACTTCTCAACTACACACTGAGTAACTGTAATCATTACATTGTCTTACTTTTTTATAATGAGGAAGCTGTTAGCTGCTTAGATACATATGCAGCAGGTAGCTGCAGCAGGGGAATGCTTACGGCCTTTCTCTGTCACATCTGTTTATTATTAGTGAACAATTTTAAATCTGCATTTTGTAATGTGCAAAAATAGGTATAGTCATGGATTGTTCCCTAAAATGCCTATAGTCTTAATCAGATGCCAGCAATACAGGTGAGGAGCCAAAACATCTGTTCACACAACTAATGGCCTAGATCTGGGACCCAGACTTCTATTATACAAAATCTGAAGGTCCAGACTTAAACCTATGCAAGTTTACTTATTGTTAGTGCCCTTGTCATCTCTCTGTTGGATTATGGAAAGATTCCACAAGTTTTATGGAAAGATTTCATGAACATGGGGCAAGAATTGTAAGCCACTTTAGTCTGGCAGAAGGTAGGGCAGATGGCATCTTAGATCTCAAGTAGTTCAGAAAGCATAAGCTTTTGTGTCAGATGCTAGCTCTGTCTGACTAAGTAGGTTGTTGCCTGATAAAGCTCATGCCTCTCTAAACCCTGCCCTACCTTCTGACTAACATGGGAGACACAAGTTAGTACCCAAAGGAAAAAATAAGACTTCTAAGAACAAATAGGAGCTGAATTATTACACAGAATGAAAGGTCAGTACAGTCAATAGAGAAGAATTTGTATGTGTTATACCAGCATTGTTCAAGTCAAACATTCAGTGGCCCAACACTGCATGTCTGTGTGTGTTTAAACAAGTTAGCTGACTTGGAATGAGTAATAAAATACATATCTTTGTATACATTTAGACAGAAATTTATAATTTTGTTTTCTGTTGAGACAGTTATAGAAGTTAAGTTGTATTTTTTATCTACCACTATAGAGCCATCTACTTCAATCTGTACTTGGAACTCCATAAAACATAAAAGGGAATAACACTGACAGAGGGAAAGCATGAGCAATACATTGATTGTATTCCTTCACATAAAACATACCCCAGAGTATAATATGCACTATTTTTTTGAAATGCAGAATGAAGAAAAAAAGATTTTTCCAGAGATATGGCTGCATAGAGCAAGGACAGAACTTATCTTCAGCAACTCACCCCTCCCTTTCCTTTTTAAGAACAGCTGAAATTCAAGCTGCTGCTGAAACTTTGTCTCCATGATCTTGAAAACTTGTCTCCAAGGCTGTGAAATATGACGATAAAGAACAGAAGCTGTTAGCAGGCAGCGAAATTGTCCTAAGAAAGGTTTGCTTGATTAGTGGAACATCAAGACTATTGAAAAGGAGAGATGATCATTAACAGTTGTGGAGTGAAGGAGAATGAGCCGTTAAGTCAACTGATTCCCTCAGCTGCCTGAACAGTAATGCCACAGCTGCTACACTGTGACGCACAAATCAAAGTACGCTTCTATCCCAGTTAGCTTCCCCGGAATTCCACAGGAATTGACTCTTGGAGGTAAATAAAATAACTAATAGTATCTGAAATGCAGCATATCCCTATAACCAACTTTCATCCTGAATGATTTTAAAGCACTTACTCATCACTACATAGTAGTTTGTAATACTTTTGTCTGCCACTGAAACATAACATCTTCTGGAATAAGATATAGAAGTAGCTTATCTGAACAGTTTAAAGCAGGAATAAAAAATACTACATACTTAATTTTAACCGCAAGGAAAATTTAGGGAAAGGTTTGAAATGTTGTTGACCTATTGCTATACTGCAGTTGAGGAAGATCAGGGACCATGGCACACCACAAAACAGAGCATGAGCCTTTCCTGCTTACCCCAGGGGGAAAGCAAGCATATGAGGAGGCACCAGCCAGTGAGCAACGTTACCAGAGTGAGTGCTCCTTGTTCACTGGCCAGCGTAGGAGCCCAGTGAGTACATCTGGCCCTGGAGAGGGGCAGCCAGGCAGAGTTTCCAGCAGTGCTGGGTGCTGGGGACAGGATGCTAGGACAGCTTTTCAGTGTGCACAAGCCAATGGAGAGGCAGAAGGTGGAGGTGCTCAGCGAGAAAGGTGGGCGATTGGAATATTGATGATAGAGGAAGTTCAGCGGAGGAGGGCTCAGGGCTGCATCCAGGAAGCTGAGGAGAGCTGCTGCAGGATCAGCTGGAGGGAAGTTACTGTGTGGGGAGGGTCCTCATTATATTTCTTTTCCTCATTAAGTTCTACGAACACGGGCTGAGTTTTTTTTTTGTTTTTTTTCCTTTTGGGATTTCTGCACAGTCCCAGGGGAGCTGGGACTGTGCGAGCAGCTGGCCCTGCAGGGTACATGATCTCTGAGGGCCCAGGGGAAGTGAGCACCCAAGGCTGGAAGACTCTTCTTTTTTTGCAGTCAGAAACAGCAGGCTGGGGCCTCGGGACAAGGTGGCAAGCTGGGTCTCGTACCTTTGTTTTCCCTTCTATTCGTTTTCTGCCAGGTTTTTCCCCTATGGCATGGGACATTTAAGGAAGGCCAAAAGACTACAGTAAAGGCATTTCTCGAGTCTCACAGTGAAACCTGCGGCTAGTTTGCTGCTGTTGTGAGTGAACAAAGTTTAAGTCTGATGGCCGCTTGTGATGGTAAGGTGAAGGGGAGAAGGAGGCCTTACAGTGAGCCCCTCATGCCAGCACATGGAGCTGGCATAACCCTCTTGGCATGATAAGACCCTTCCCAGTTCTGGAAACATCAGGTCATGGCAGGAGAGAATCACTGAGGTGGATGTCAGGTGGAAGGAAGAGTTAGCATCCGGTGCTTTAACACCAGGTGAAATTCAAAGAGATGGGAGGCCCCTACATATACCAATAATTCTGTTCTTCCAAGTACCATCTAAAGGATCCAAAAGAAAGGCCTGTTTCTTCCAAATTAAATACTAAGTACTGACTGAAAAACATGTCAGTATGGTACATTCTCGAGCTTACTAGCACACTGTGGTCTAAGTTTTGGAAGATGTAAGAAAATACCATTTTGTAAAGTGAA